TGCATCTAGGGTTTCGTGGAGGCGCCGCCCAGAAATGCGAGAAGGCAGCGTCTAGGTAGCGGGGTGGGCTTTTGTACCTGCCGCACGGCTCGTTTCCCCGCCATGGCATTCGGGATCATCGTCCACGTGTCGCACATCCATGGAGGGTTCCTTGGTCGCGCCTGGGTGTGGCCCAAGGACACCCTGGCCCTGCCATCGCGCCCCCGCGGTGTGCCGCCCGCACCATCACGTATCTGACGCGGCGGCGCTGCCTGTCCCACCGGAATCCGGTTCCGCACCCTGGCGATATGACACGAAAAGTATACTGCCTGACCGATGTCGATCCGCTCCCCGGCCAGAGAAAGCGCGCGTTGACCATCACTCCCCTCTCGTCGATCAGGACGATCCGGAGCGCGTCGTGTCGAAGCTGGATCTGGCCGTCGGCGAAGGACAGCGTACGCGCCGTCGTGAGGTCAGCCGCGAAGGAGACTAGCCAACGTAGGTTGCACACCATCAGCCCAACCCAAACATTACAATTAAGAATGGTGGGAGTATATATTTTTCTTCTAAATCCGCCACTTGCAGGACATGAAAGGGCATCCGCGGTTGCTTCAACTCTGGGGATAAATATTGGAGAAGTCTTTGTTTAACGGTCCAGACATAAAAGTCGTCTTTGATAGTTTGGACTTTTGGAGCTTTTAAGGTATTTATCCAATCTAATTGGCGATCATGCATGCCATTATCTTCGATGAACGCGGTGCCACCAAAGAGGAGTGGCTGCAGTGTCTTCTGTTAAAACATGGGGAACCTATCAGGTACACCGGGCTATTGGCAACGTGAGCACCACACCATGATTCGAACGTGCACATCCTCTCCGGTCAATCAACCGAACCTGCTAGTAATTCACGGATATACTCCCTTCGTCCCAAAATAAGTGTCTCAATTTTAGCAGGGAGTAGTTCTTTGTCGATCTGGACGCGAGATAATGTCCATATAACGGCGTTTGGTCGGACTCTAGCTACCACACTCAAATCTAGGACTGGCTAGCTAGCTGCTAGGATCTACCAATGGCGCTGACCAGCTCGGCAGCAGCGTTGGCAGCAGCGTTGGCAGCAGTGCTGCTGCTGGCGTTGCAGCTCCCTGCAGCGGCGGTGGCCGACGTGCCTCCACCGCCTAACAGCTGCACCCGCATGTGCGGGAACGTGAGCGTGCCGTACCCGTTCGGCGTCGGCCCGGCCGAATGCTACTGGCCGGGCTTCAACCTCACCTGCCACACGAGCGGTCGGGAGGAGGCGCCAAGGCTGCTGCTCGGCGACGGCACCCTCCAAGTGGCGGAGATCTCCATCAAAAACAGCACGGTGCGCGTCATGCGCGCCGGCGACGTAGAAGTCGACGCTGCCGGCAACGGCTTGTTCGGCGGCGGCCTTGCGGACGACGGCCCCTACACGCTGTCGAACTCTAGCGAGCTCGTCGCAGTTGGTTGCAACGTGTATGCGATACTCCAAGAGAAGAACAAGCTCACCATGCTGAGCGGTTGTGCCTCATTCTGCGACGAAGTCGTCGTCGCAGACAATGCGACTGCGATTTATCTGGAGGAACGAGGCGCATACAACATGGGCAGCTGCCAGGCGCCCCTCATCCCCGCGCACTACGTCGGGAATGGCGTTCCGGGCCAGGTGAGGTTAAAATATTTCGGTTCGAACGGCAGCATCTACGAAATGTTGCGGGCGATGGTGTTCGTCGCGGAGCAGGGGTGGTATCCTCCGTTAGAAATGGACTATCATATACCAGATAAGATGGCAGTTCCATTTCTTCTGGACTGGCTGATCGTTGCCCCAGGTCGGCTGGCTAGCGCGGAGTTGACCGACGGCAAGTGCACCTCGGTCGAAGCCCGCGACGTCTGCAAGAGCAGCGAAAGCAGCTGCCGGAAACGTCCTAGAGGCTATATTTGCTCTTGCCGGCATGGTTACCAAGGCAATCCTTACATCACCGACGGGTGCCAAGGTTAATGTGCACTGGTTATACGCTTTTCTTTCTCATTATAGGCAGAAACGATTTTGACTTTTATTCTTCCTTGATCGATAATCCTTATAAGTGTTGGCTGCTTGTATGTAGATATCAACGAGTGCGACTTCCCTGCAAAAGACACCGAGTGCTACGGAGAATGTACCAACACACAGGGATCCTTCCAGTGTCGTTGCCCGCAAGGAACCATTGGGAACCATGCCCTGCCCAATGGCTGCGTCGAACCCGCCAAGCAGCCTGCAAAACCCAGAAACACTGGTTAGCACCGTTTTACATTACTCCCTCTGTTTTCCTTCACTCCACATATTAGCTTTGTCTAAAGTCAAAATTTACAGACTTTGACAAAGTTTATTGAAAAAACATTAACATTTACAATACCAAATCAATACTATTAGATTTATCATTGAATATATTTTAACCTCATATAAATTTTTATTGTAAAAATGTTCATATTATTTTCTATAAACTTGGTCAAACGTTATAAATTTTGACTTTGGTCAACGTTAATATTCGGACTAAATAAAAACGGAGGGAGTACACGACATTAGAAGCCTACCACTCTGCTTATGCGCACGAGCTCACGACAATAACAATATGCATATATATATTTCAGGTTTAAGCATCGGAATAGGAGTTGGCAGTGGGGCAAGTGTTATTGTCTTTATTCTCATGGTATTTTTCATGATGCAAAAGTATAAACACCAAAGGGCAATAAAATTGAGACATAAATTCTTTGAGCAAAATCGTGGTCAATTGTTGCAACAATTGGTATCTCAGAGAGCTGATATTGCAGAAAGAATGATCATAAGCTTGGAAGAGCTAGAGAAGGCAACGAACAATTTTGATAAATCTCGTGAGCTTGGTGGAGGCGGGCATGGTACCGTCTACAAAGGGATTTATCGGATCTCCATGTAGTTGCCATCAAGAAGCCTAAGGTGGTGGTGCAGAAAGAGATTGATGAGTTTATTAATGAGGTTGCTATCTTGTCCCAAGTCAACCATAGAAATGTGGTAAAACTCTATGGTTGTTGCCTTGAAACAGAGGTCCCAATGTTGGTCTACGAGTTTGTATCCAATGGGACCCTTTATGATCATGTTCATGTCAGGTCATTGTCGTGGGATGACAGGCTACACATAGCAACTGAAACAGCCAAATCTCTTGCTTACCTTCACTCGTCCGTCTCAATACCCATCATCCATAGAGATATCAAGTCTGTTAACATACTTTTGGATGATACTTTAACAGCAAAGGTAGCAGATTTTGGAGCTTCAAGGTACATTCCAATGGAGCAATCAGGGGTAACAACAATGGTGCAAGGTACAATAGGATATTTAGATCCTATGTACTTCTACACATCGCGCCTCACAGATAAGAGTGATGTGTATAGCTTTGGTGTCATTCTTGTAGAATTGTTGACTCGAAAGAAGCCCTTTTCATACATGTCCTCTGGAGGTGATAGCCTTGTTGCAAATTTTGTTACCCTGCTTGCAGAAGGTAGCTTATTGCAGATATTAGATCCACGAGTGATCGAAGAGGGAGGCATAGAAGTTGAAGAAGTTGCTAAGCTTGCGGTAACATGTGTGAAAATTAAAGGAGAGGATCGTCCAACCATGAGGCAAGTGGAAATGACACTAGAAGGCCTTCAAACATCCATGGACCATGTTCTAGATGGTCAAGTGGCCAGGGAATTTGAGAAGGTTGACGTTGCAATAATTCCACCATCAACTAATAGTACCGAAAGAAACAATGATGATTCAACAAGACAATACAGCTTAGAAGATGAGTTCATGTTATCCTCAAGGTACCCTCGGTAGGTAGGTCTGCTTAACCAAGTTTTTAGAATGTGCAATTTGATAATTAATTCAAGGATTTGTGTGCACTATTATGCTATTTATTTAAAGGTGTCACCGATCAATTTGGTCTAATGGCATTGTTGTTTTCTATGTAACAATAATGTGTGATACAATGAAAGGAATATTATTTTTGAAGCGTGCCCATGAGGAATTAAAAGAAGTATTTGTGGATTCTTGTAGTTTTTTACATTTTTTTAGGGAATGTAATTTTTTATATTCACTTATAACTTTATTCAAGCTCGACAAAATTAAAGGTACAATGCTTAGGGTCCTAGATCCAGGAAATTAAAAAATAACTCCTTTAACTAAGAACTACAGTGAAATTTCTAGAATCATCTTCTCTGCGGCATCAACATTGGCGAGGTGAAATACTATCAAGGCTTCAATCAGATCGGAGCAGCGACACCAGCACTCGTACACTTACACAAATTGGCTACCTTCATAGGTTTCAGAAACCCTCTTTACTTGCCCATCCAAAAAGATGGGAAGCCATGAGCGTTGAACGTACTTGGGACGAGGTTAATCCCCAAAAGGGACAAGTCGTCGAACCACAAGATCTTCAATAGATCACCAAAGCATGACTCCAAAATCATAATGGATCGCACCAACAAAAGTAAAAGGAACACTAGCACAAACTATATGAACGTCTATGCGAGGACATAAACATAAAATCTGCAATGTCAGACACATCAAACCTGCAGAGACACAAACTGTCTGGCTCTTTAGCGTACCCTGATAATACTTTGCCACGGCAGGAAAAGAATCAAAGCATCTTTATTCTTGATAGCATGCTAGGATGTTGCCAATGAAAACTGAAGACATGAAGCTAATAAAACTTTTGAATACAACTACGGAGATGGAAGTTTCCCTCACCTCGCAGCATGACAGCTAGATGCATGGGGAACCAATGAAACTTTTGGCAGTTGAACCGGTAGAACCTTAGCCTCTCATTGATGTATATGCAATTGGTTACATGATCCCTCAATTTGTTACTCGAGGGAGTTGATGAGTCCCTTTTTGCATCACTAAATTATCCCTTGTTTCTGCATAATAGTTCTAGGATTTTTGAAATTTTACCGTGCCCGTGCACCCTTTTTCACTGATTTCACTAGGTTCCCAAAGAAGAAGGTTATTTTGTGGAGAGAGGATTATGTGGGATAAACCAGCCACGCAGGGCTTTCCAGAGGCAAAGACGTGTGGTACGAACATGGATGCTCATACGATACGACACTATCACCACCTGGTCAACTACTTCAACCTCGTGTGACCGGATTTCGCAGGTGACAAATAGAGAGGCCAGAACCATGAAGCGGAATTGGAAAACTTCACTTCTAGGAGTGATCCATAGGAGGAATCGGCAGAAGGGCACCGCTACACCATCAAGGGGACTACGATATCGATCTTCATCATCATCGTCATCCACATCCTCAACATCATTCATCTCATTGTAATACCAAACCCTGATTTGGATTCTTGTGTGTGTTACATTAATCATTCATCTGCAATTTCCATGAAAGCTTTTATGGTGCATGTTGTCTCTATGTCTAATTACACCGCCGTGTTCTCAAGTATACGGAGGAACCCTAGTATGTGTATGAGCCGAAGGACTAAAAGATAGATGATTCTCTTTGTTTGTTGTGTTAATTATTTTTCATGATGTTGTGTGAAGTCGACCTCACAACATTTTTCATGGACTTAGAAGGATTTTACTCTCCAAGGGAAACAACGAAGAAGAGGTATTGCAATGACAAAAGCTACCACCCTCTCAATGCGGAACTTAGATAGGGGAATAACGGAGACCGCTTTAGCTATGTTCACGTGGAGACCCTTAATCATTGTTGCCTTTATCCGGCAGGAAAGGGCCAGTGATGGCGTATGTGACACGGAGCTACAATAGTATGCATGTATCAGTACTTGGTTTCACTCACATATAGAAACATATAAAGTGGCCCGGTTCTCGAAACCTAAAATTGTGCATCCGCACAATTAAGTAACATACATACTAGTGATGAATCCAATCTCTATTATAATGCCTTAGCCCTACTGTAAATTTTATTATTTTCATTAGTCTCTTGTTCTTTATTTTTATCCTTGCGCACTTTAATTCTCGTCACAACAACTCTTGTTTTGACTCTCGCATCGCTTTTGCTTGGAATCACAATTAACTTGGAGCCACATTTTGATAAACCTCTACAAGGCATAAAGACCACTTCGTAGCTCCATGTAGGATTGATACTCTTACTCTGAAATACTACAACTCAACCCTGCACACTTGTATGACATCGGTTTTTATCGGTTCCCCCTCATCTACAGTGGCCACTTCGCCACCACGAGAGGCGCGAACCAGGAAACTGAGTTGGAGTATAGTCTAACTTGTTTTTCATGTTTGTTTTGTGTGTTCATGTAGCGACGGGTCGACGGTGGGGGCAACGTCGTAGCTAATAAAAAGTCCCACAACTTCGTCTTTGTCCTGGTGTGGTCATCATGGCTGATACGACACACATCGGGGAGTCTGTGGTGTTGTCTTCTCGTGGATTGTCGATTTTAGACCTAGTGGATGATTTTCCATTGCTTCGACCTATCAAGGCAGTGATGGTGGCAAGTTGGAGTCCGTTCATATGGCCAATGGTTACCCCGTTTCACCTTTTTGTGTTCCCGATCTTCTTCCTAGACAATAGGGCAACGAAGCGGCGTCCAGCAACCTACCATGAAGGGGTATTTCCCCGACCACGGTGCGATTAATGATCTTATCTTCTCACCCATTGGGGGTGGCCGGCTCATGCGGCTTTTCAAAACCTATCAGGTTAGTACAGCTTATGCAGGTTTGATCTTCTATAGTTTTTCATCGGAGTCTCGAGGAAAAGTGAAAGTAAATGTGAAAGTGAACTTTGATGTAATTTATAGTTGTGTCAAAGATTTTTTTTTGTCCATCTATGAGTCATATTATTTGATCTTATGTAATTTATTTATTTTAATGAATAAAGTCACATCATTCTAAAAAATAATTTCAAGGGGGTAGCAAGCCGAGCTCACCCGTGCTTTCCGTGAACAAATAATACACATACTTAGAGCATCTCCAATAGATGATGTAAAATAGCTCGGGATCATTTTTAGCAAAAACACTGCTCCAATAGATGATGTAGATGCAAATATTGTTACTCAAGATTTGCTCTAGATGTAAAAATAGGGGTACCAAGTGATGCAAATTTGCATCACTTGGATGCTCCAGAGAAAATTTTACATCACCAGGGGACCACGTGTAAAATTTGCATTACCAAGTGCTATTTTTACATCACCAAGTGCTCCAACTTGATGTAATATACGACACCCACAAGAAGACAGTCATGATGTATTTTGCAACACCTATTTTATATCATCTGTTGGAGTTGGAGATTTTTGGTGATAATAAAACCACCTTTTGGTGATTTATATTTTACTCCAACCACAATTTAATGATGTAAACTAGATCATCCATTATAGATGTTCTTAGTTACTGGCTCGCTTAGGATGTACAAACAAACCAAAGAGAACTTAAGCCACTATTCAAACATTAATCCTTCTGTTTTCCTTCTGTTTGCGTAGCCTCATGCGGCCTCCTTTGGTTTATATAATTCTAAAAATGAAGATAACACACATAGAAATTTGATAGGATCTCCTAGACTCAGTTGCTTGGTTAACATGAATAGAAAAAACACATAAATCCTAATTAAAATAGTCAAATCAGAATCAAACCACGTCCACGTGATTAGGTGTAATTAGCGTGTCATTATTTCACTAAGGATCTCGGTCATTTTGTGTTTGAAATTTTTATAAAAAGAGGTCCAAATAAATTGTAAAATTCCTATATTTTTCCTTTGAAACTGAAGGTAAAGGAATATTTACTTCATTTTCATTTGCTATTTTTTTAATAAAAGGAGAACTTCTTTTTTGTTCCTATGTTTTTTCTCCACTTTTCCTTTGAACGAAATGAGAACTTTGTTTTTTGGAGGGAAAGTTCAAGGCTCGTGGCTTCGTCTAAGCCAGCCTGCAACACACAACACACAACACCACATGTACGCGTGCGCGCACACACACACACCATTACACACCCGCTATGCTCCTACCAAGATCTACAACCTATACGCACATGGCACACTTCAAGAAACTTCTTTAGCCATCCGACTGTGTGAACGACGGGTATATCATCATCCCTGTGGCCGGTAGACATGTGAGGTTTTGCAAGGGAAAAATACCGCAGATGTGACACCCACATCGATCCCATGGATGTGATC